GTTTTCTTCTATGATAAACAATCTAGGATGAAGAAATTGCATTTTTTTGGTTTTGTTTTTCAAGTTGGGTGCAAAAAAAGGTCTTGGAGCCCAGAAAGTGAGCAGCCAGAGCTTCAGTGAGATTGAGCGGCAAGCCCAGGTGGCAGAGCAGCTGAGGGAGCAGCAGGCAGCGGAGTCCAGGAAGCAAGCCGAGGAGTCCATGTAAGTGCCCTGTTTGGGCTGAATACCTTGCATACGTAAGGCAGAAGTAATACGAGGTTAATGCTGTTCGCTGTAGGACCACCTAATGTGAGCGTAGAACATGCTGCATAATAGAATGAGCAGTAGCTATAAGCCAGTATGGTCCTTATGGCAGGGCACAAGTTATACTGCTGTATTTTATTCAAATTACCATCCCTGGAAGAGTTTAAGGAGCAGATATGGAAGTATTTTGTGTTCCTGCTGGCCTTTGGACAGGACTGAAAAAGGCAAAGGATGAACTGGATGGGGTATTCTGTCTGAGAGGAGCAATGCTTACAGTAAGGAAATCATGGTTATCCAAAAAAGAGTTGAATCCCAGTGGAGGCAAGATGGGAAGACAAGCAGTAGCTTCTGTGCAAGGATTTTTGGCAGAGCTGTTGTGGAAATGGGTCTTTTGATGGGTTGTCAGGGTTACTCTCCCCCTTGCCCCTCCACAGCATGGGCTGGGGGGAGGGTAATGAGCTGGTACCCACCATAGCTCTTTCCTTTAGAGTGACCTCAATGCGACTGGCTTATCAGGAACTGCAGCTCGATCGGAAGAAGGAAGAGAAGAGACTTCAGAACCTTGAAGGGAAGAAGCGTGAACAAGCAGAGAGGCTGGGCATGGGCTTAGTGTCCAGAAGGTACTTGGCTGTGGATAGCATAGGACAAGACAGGTGCCTTGGAAGCACTGTGCTCTGGAAAAGTTTCCTGAAGGCAGTAGCTTGCTGCTTTTGTAACAGATAAGGAGCTGATTTAAAGTGCTCATTTGCTGGACTATGTCTAAATATGCTGCAGGCCCCAGAAAGAATGGGCGCTGTTCAGAGGTTCTAGTTCTCATTCGAGCTTTTTCAAAGATGCGTGTGGCCTGTCAGTGTCTAGCCCTAGAGCCCTGTTGCTTGACAGATGTCCCACTGCAGAATACTACGCTTAAGAAAGTAGCTCAAGACTTCTGAGGGAGTCAGGATAAGTGGTGAAAGGCAGCTGGTGTCCCACAACTTTCCCTCGAGACTTGTGGCACCTGCCCTGCCTGTGAAGGCCAGATTCAGTTTTGAGGCAGACTGGATGTAGGGGCTGGATGCTGTCAGACCCATCGGCCCTGAGTGCCTGTTTGTTGTGCTAGTTCTGTTTCACACTCGGTGATGTCTGAGATGCAAGTAATTGAGCAAGAGACGCCGCTGGCTGCAAAATCTTCCCGTTCCCAGTTGGACTTGTTTGAAGATGCTGGAGGCTTCACGTCTGGACCACCCAAGTAAGACTTGGTTTCAGTGTAGTCTTTGGCTTATTCCTGAATTTAATGTCTGGCCTAAATTACCTATTTTTGGTACCTAGGTACAAATATAATCCCTTCTCATTCGAAGATGCATTTGGCTCGCGATGGGAAACGGACTCTTCGTGGGGTATGGACAAAGAGGAGGAACCTGAGGTGACCATTTCCAGTATTCGGCCAGTTTCAGAGAGGTAAGGTGCCTGCCACTGCTACTGTATGTACCTTCCTTGTGTGGGGGACAAAGGGATAGGTCTAGGAGCTGTGGGGAGAGATGCTGCTGTGTTGCAACAGGAGCCTTGTGCTGCAGAAGATAACTTGCATGGACAAGGCCAAGAAAAAAGGCCTTGTGTGAAAGGCTTGGGCACTTCTTTGCGTGTCATGTCCCTAAGCTTGATACAGCCTTTATGGTCATTGAGTGCTGGCTGTCTTGAGGTGGGGAGAGGAGAACCCTGATGGTAGCTAGCACTTGAGGATTTGTTGCTTTCCTTTGATCACATGGAGTCTGAGAGAGAAGTCTGTTCCTTTGCTGTGTTGGTGAGCTTAAGCTGAGATGTCTCCTCTCTGTTTTCCTCAGACCCACCAGTAGGCGGGAGACAGAGAACAGGACATCTATTGTGGAATCCAACGAAGCTCGGCAGAAGTTTGCAGGGGCTAAAGCTATCTCTTCAGATATGTTCTTCGGGCGGGAGGCAGACGCTGAGGTAGATGCATTCTGCAGTGCTTAAGCTGGGATAGCTCTGGCTTCATCTCCTTCTGTTTGCTCAGGTCCTACTTTGTTCCCTTCCTTTATAACCTTTTTGGTTTGTTTTGTTTTCTGCTGCAGTATGAAGCCAGATCCCGACTGCAGCAGCTCTCAGGCAGCAGTGCCATCAGCTCTGCAGACCTGTTTGGAGAGGCTGAGAATGTGCACTCAGGTTTGTTAGCACTCAGCGGGCTGAGGAAGGGGGCAGCTTTGGAGGACCTAGGCTGGAGGGGGTCAGGGTGCTCTCTGGAACTGGGGCACTCCAGGCTAACTCCTCCTGGTTCTTGTAGGTGGTGTGTCAATTGGAAATGTCCTGCCTGCAGCTGACATTGCACAGTTCAAGCAAGGAGTGAAATCAGTTGCTGGCAAGATGGCTGTCCTAGCTAATGGGGTGATGAACTCCCTCCAGGTGAGGTTACGCTATGGCACCTTCAGACAGGCTATTGTCATGCTCAGGGACTTTCACCATGTCCTGGCTTCTGCTGGAATTATCATTGTCTTCTCAAATTATGTGGAAATCCCAGATAGAGACCCGTCTTTTGTAGCTGATGACTACACTACAATAGCTGAGCAATTTCAGGTGGCCAGTGAACTCTGCTTGGCCAACCTTACTCTCCTGCTGGACAGGACACTTTGTTATGTTGGGTATGCCTCTTCCCACAAATCCCAGGCAGAACTTAAAAAGTTAAGGCCATTTTACTTCCTGCCTTTCCATGGTGTCCTGTCTAGGTAACCTCAGACTGCATTCCAACCCCAAACACCCCAAGACCTTGTTATCTGTCTCTGGAGTTTGCCTGAAGTGTTGTAGCATGGTGTCTTGGTGTGTTTCCTCCCCAGGATCGTTATGGCTCATATTGATGACCCAGGGACTGCAACTCAAAGGGAAGCCAGCAAGAGGCACTGATGCCACCTTCACTGATGCAAACTCTGCAGGATTGTCTTAGTTTGTCTGGGGTGGGTGGGGAGGGGAGAAGGTAAGCAGAGGGGGTCAGGACATGGCTGTGCCCAGGATGCTTTCCAAATATCTCTGGATTCCACTCTATTAAAATTCAATGTGCCCTCATACCCACTGCTATCTACTAGCCAGTGGAGACAGGCCTTCTTACAGGGTTAACCTCACTGCTGTAAAAGATACGACAGGAACTCCTGGGCTGCCCTCATCAGTGCTCCTGTCCTTCTTGGCCCATACCTTAGCTCACCAAGTGACAGAGGAAAGGGGAATGCTATTTTTCTGAACATCGCGTTACCTGGTTCCTGTGGACTTGACTGTTTTTTTTCGTTCTGCTCAGTGCTCCCTATCCATGGTGCTGTGGAGTCCTCTGTATTTGCAGGGTCTGACTTTTACCATGGGTAATCCTTTTTACTGTCTTGTAAACCAGCATATATTGATGCAGGAGTGAAAAATCAAACAAAGCAAAGATTATTTTTTTAGCTTCTAATTACATCATCAGCAACAATGGCCCAGGTAAAGAAGTACTGTAAAGATATTTACTGGATCCCTTGTTATTTTGTTGTCCAGCTTTGGACTGAGGTCGGAGTCCTGAGCCTCTGACTCCACCCTGAGGTGAACTTCTACAGTGCAGCAGTGAGTGAGGACTGTCATTTTAGTCCTGTTCAACTTGGCTCTCTGCTCCTGACTCTGTTTTTAAGAGCAGCATGTTTTTATCTTCCTTGGACTATGGTCTTGAGGGCTGGGTAGTATTAAGAAAAAGGTGGGGGGGGAGGGCTAGTTTTGCAGTCCTAGCAAAAAGAGAGGCTGGGGCTGGTAATGGGCTTCCAGGAGCTTCACCTCTCCTCTCCACTTGGAGGGCCTGTGGTACCTGCAGGGCTGGGGGCGGGAAGGGAAGGGTTCCTCTGCCGCTGTGGGCAGGTGTTACACTGGTGGGGCAGGAGTGTGTGTGTGTGGGTGGGGGTAAGGGTCGGGCCTTCCTCTGGCTTTGCCCCTGGTGCGGTTGCAGAGTACTCGGAGCCAGGGTTCAGAGGGGACGGGATGGACAGTGGCATGCTTGCGCAGTGGGTGCTGACGCGGAGGCAAGTTTGGCCCGGGACCCCGGCTGAGGCAAGGGTCTGGCGTGGGCCCGTGAGTACCACCGCTGGGGCCCTGTGCTGCTCCAGTCTGGCCAGTACTGCTCTGCTCCCCACCCCATGCCAGGCCTTACCCCTGGCAGCGCCCTGAGGAAGGGCCAGGGCAGCCCAGAAGACCCCAGACGAAGCAGTGGCTTTATGCAGTGTGCTTTATTGCCGGGCTGTCACAGTTGCTTGCTGATGGTTGGGAGAGAAAGCACGGTTAGCGAGCACGTTAATAAATAAAATAACTTATAATAAATAAATAACACCTCCAGCTACCTCCACAGGTGGGGCTGTGGTACAGACTCAGCAGTAGTTAGGGGATTAGTCTTAAAATAGCTCCAGCATGTGTTGAATCTACTCAGCTTAGGGCTGCTATAAGCTTTGGGTTACTAGCTCTTAGTAGCCCACACAGCAGCATTTTATGAACAGGAAGAGCAAGGGCACTCCTGAAGAAGCAAGAGAAACTAAAGTTCCCCAGGAAATAACTAGTCTATGCAAGCTGAGGCACAGGAGCTGGGCCAGACAAAGCGTTCAGGACTGCGGAGGCCCAACTGCTGAGTTAGTTACCATTAACACAATGAGACGCTGCTTCTTTTTGTAGTTGTAAGGGCTACGCTGTGATGCTACAACAATGCTAATATTTACAAAAAATACCCAGGACTCGTTTGATAGTTGCTTCCTTCTGCCCTAGTGCTTCTGCCCACCCAAACCCAGCAGATGCTCTATATGTTTGCAAGCCACACCACCTGCGGCCAAGGGATTCAAAGACTTCTTCCCTCTCTCTCCCACTCCCCCAACCCCCTGAAGCTCACTTTTCCAAATGACCTTAATACGCTGTTCAGAACAGAACTCAGTACAGCAGAGGAGCCAGATAGCACCATACAGTACTTTACTGCAACCTGGCTTATTTGCTATATTTGCTTTGGCAAGTCTTGGACACATGGAGGAGGAAGTAAAGACAGGTGGCATGGCAATACCTAAGCCTTCTTTCTTTTCTAGGAACTTAGGAATTTCTCCACCTTTGATCATACACAGGTGCAGCTTTACTGGGAATAATTATAATGGAGCGCGAGTGCAGAGGTGCTGCTGGCGATTTAACCACTCTGTTGTCTTAGGCCAAGTCTGAACACAGCTACACAACAAAACACTGGCAAGCGGCCTGCACTTGCACTCCCACTACTGCAGCACCTGCTGAACCGGGAGGGAGAGCCCCAGTGAGTGAATACACAGCTATTTCCAAGTGGAGGCAGAGCTAGCATCCGCTGGCTTGCCAGCAGAGGGTAGCATAACTCTGCAGCTGGAAATAGCTTCTGCAGAGGAGCTATTCCTGCACGAATTTGGAGCTAGGAAAAAGGCAGAGTTCTTCCCGGGAAAAGATGGGTGGACCTGGCAACGGGGACTGGCACAGCCACACACATGCTGGTGATGTGGACAGAACCCACCATCAGAGCAGATGCTGTGGGAGGAGGTGCTGTTTCTGCAGTAGGTTCTGGAGAAACCCAAGATGGGAACGGTGCCCACCCTCACAACCTTCAATTTTCAGAGGAGTCTGTCTCTTCATTGGAGCCTTCACTCTCAGCATCCATTTTTCGCCGATGGTGTAGAGGTTTCCAGGGAGAGTTAATCCTGGGTGAGTTACGGACAGGCAGATTAGCTGTGTCCCCGCTGGAGCTGGTAGGACTGGAGACGGAAAGCCCTGAAACCTGAGCTATCCTGAAAGAGAAAAGACAAATGCTAGGCAGCCTAACTTGTCATCTCCAACCTTTAGGGTAGCAGTTTTGGAGTGAACCTGGGAGGAGGACTTAACTCACAGCTAGCACAGGGATGGAAAGGTGTTGATGGCACAGAGAGGGAACACCTTGTGCTAGTACCTACCAGACTCGCTGTGTGAATCTTTCTTCCTGTTTAAACAGATCTTTCTTCTGGGCTGAGCCTGTGTCCTCCAACACTCCTAGTTTTCACCATCCAAACGCAATTTCCCTGTTCATTAGAGACTCCTGCTTCCTCTAGACCCCTCTTTGAGGCACACTTTTCCACTCTATTTCTACAGCCTTTTCTAAGGATTTTGTTAGCTGCACCAAGGCACCCCAAAGAAAGAGGCCCCCTCTGCTCAGGCTGCACTGTTAGCTCCTCTATTGTTTTATAGTAGAGCAAAGGAATAGGGACAGTACTTTACTAAAGTCTTCCTTAGCATGCTACCATTAATCTGTTGCTTTACCTCCTACTTTAGGCAACTCCACTTACAATTTCTCAAGTTCCTGATCCATGGTGGGGTCCAGAAACAAGTCTCCTTTATCTGGCAAAGCCCCTGGAAAAAAAAAAAAAAAAAGGAAAGTATCAGAGCAGAGTTAGGCTATTCATTCTTAAAGAAAAGCGCTCACTCCATAGCAGTATCTAAAATCTGCCCTGCAAGACAGAGAAGACTCTTCTTTATACCTATTAGAGAAATGGACACTGAATGTTGAGGATCATGGAGAGATAAAGAATGATGATCCATATTATGTGTCCTTCACATAGACTGTAGCTGAGCTCAGACGAAACAGGAGGCACTTTCAGTGGTCTCACTTCTCAGAGAACTTGAAGAACTCTAAGGATTGGCAGTTTCCATTCACTACACAAAACTACTGAGTACTGACTGTCAGGGAGATGACAGTCTTGTCAACTTCGAGCCTCTGCCCTATATAGTCACCAGTCCCAGATCCTATCAGAGCAATAGATACGTTGCTGTCTGTGCCGCAGCCTGAAGCATGTGCTGTACCACCCAGGGAGATGTATACTTCTGTGCCACCTGCCTTTCTTGTGGTGCAGTGAGCTCGCGGATCAAAATACTCCACAGATGTAACACTACTGCTTTCCTTGCAATTCAGGAAAGGCAGGCCTGACTCTGGTGCACATTAAGTCCACAGAAATATGGATGGACTGTGCTCTAGTGTTGCTTGCTGTCTGGGTGAGAACGTGAAAGGCTGGGCCAGTAATTGGGTACCCTCTCTCAGCATAAGGTCAGCATGCTCCTTTTCAGGATGAAGGACATGGTGTAGTTCAGGACTGGAACAGCTGGTTGATCATCCTTGCCATTGTCTCTGAAAGGACACTGGCACCTCAGGAAGAGCCCAGAAAGGAAGATGGGGCTCTTAGGAAAGCCCTCCTTCCTAATTCTGTAACAAACTTCACCTTCTACGAGGGTTGTGGGAGGGTGTGATCAGCCAGCACAGAGATGACAGGAATTGCCTACCACAGCCTGAATAGTGCCATTGCACGCCAGGACAAAAAAAATCCACTTGGTAATATGTACCAACAGCGCAGTGAGGAATACTCTTGCTTTTCAGGAGACCAGGGTGCTACACTCAGTACTTTTGGGAAGGAGCTTTGTACTCCCTGTGGGGACACAGACCTGGTTTATGGCCCCGGCACCTTGCTCTTGAAGGAGGGCCTGGAGAGCCACCTGCCTCACATAGGCAAGCTGGCAGCAGTCACCAAAAATGTAGCAATGAGTGTCCAAAAATTAGAAACAGTTTAGACCAGAAGCGACTCCCCCACTTCTTCTGGTTCTGGCCTTCCCCTCCTGCAAATGAACAGGAAAGCCTGGCACCGCAACACAGAGCGTCAGGAGGTCCAGTGGAGTGCCCCAGACTGCTCCCTTTCATGAATTCAATTAAAAGAATAAACAGCTAAAGCTTAACTTGTTTCTGCATTTGAAGAATGCACAGTGAAGTCTCTAGGGCACAAGAATTACTTGGGAGAGTCAGTAAATAACACTTAAAGGATTCACGAATCAACACTGACATTGGAGTTAGGCTGCGGATTCCAGTCTGCCTGACAAACTCATCGGCGCTGCCCCAGCCTGAATGAGCCACTCTAATCCCTATCCCTGTTCCTCAAGGGGGGCTACTGGCTTTGTGAGACCAGAAAGAAGGCAGGCATCCTGACCGAAAGCTCCTTTGCCTGAAACTGCCCTCATGAAGGGCTTTGGGGAGCTTGTGATCCCCTACAGACCAAAGACTATTGAAATCATCCTTCAGGAGAGACTAAAAGACACCAGGCAAAGAATCCTCCTTTCCTTGCCAAGACGCTAGCACCTGTCAGACTTGTGGTTGCTGCCCCTCCTCTGCGAGAGGCCTCGGCAGGAGGCTGGCAGAGGGCCAGGGGACGGGCCCACATTAATGGAAAGGAAAACCCACACACTGTGTAGATGGCACAATGGAAGCAGTGGGCAGGAATTTTTTTTTCTGCTCATCTGTTTTCTTTCCACTCTACTAGAAGTGGATTTCGTAGAGCAGAAGAAAAAAAGATTTTGCTTGCTGCAATGCAGGCATCACCTTCCCCAGTGAATACACTGCTTCCTAAGCCTGTTTGCAGAGGGGATTGCAGGGCTGTTTTCATGCACCTTTGATATATAATCTCCATGTTGCTGGGTAAGCAGCCCTGCCCCAGAGGAGCATTAGCAGCTTAAATGGTTTGCTGTAAGAAGGGGCTCAGCCAAGGAGGGGACACTTTTACTCTACTATGACACACATCTATGCAAAAGAACAAGCCCTCAGGCAAGGTACACCTTTTCACTGAGGTTTGTCTTTGTAATATAGGGACTCGCAGATACTCAAGCCTAGAAGCAGAGAGAGAGGATACCTACCCAAAGACAGAGAAAGCCTACCCTTACTGGCCAGATGGTTTGCTGAGTGGAGATGAGTGAAGATGAGTGTTTGAGCCTCCACACATTTAAACATACCTCTTGGATACAGCCTTCTCAAACACAAAAAGCCATTTCTGTTCCCCTTTGCAAGAGGAAGAAGAGCACAAGCAAGACATATGGGGGCAATATGGAGTTGTGAGTCTGAACTATGTATGGATTACATACTGTCCTTTGTCAGTGCAACACTTTGCTTCCTTGCTCTAGAACAATATTGACCAGCACAACATGGAAATGAGCAGTGAGATGCTGCTTGGTAATCCCTCTGGTTCCCACAGCAGTCCGGTACAGAATTTTGTAGCAGTTTTGTGTTTTATGATACCACCAGATTTTCAGCAGGCCACAGATTAATATACTAGTGAGTTCACACTGCCTTGAGGGAAGATGGGAGAGAGCTGGGAAAGACCGGGCTTTGCGTCTTTGAGCCTTTGAGCCAAGGAGGCAGCAGAGGTTTTCCCATTAGGTGTGCCTCCTTTTCTTGCAGACAAGAGCAGTCACTTAAAATCTGTGGGAGAATGAAGGGCTAAAACATAGGATGGGACTTCAATTCAGTACTGTCGTCAGCAGTCAGCCACGTTACTTGTCTCCTGACCACCTCTGCCCAACCTTTATAGCCAAACATGTTAGAAGCACAGTTCTGCTAAAATGATCAGCTATTGAAGAGGTAACACATTGCTATCTTAGGGCAGCATTTCATATCTAATTTTATCCTTGAAGAAGCTCCACAGCTTCAAGCAGACAGTAAGGTGCAGTGTTATGTTTTTAAAGTTTAATCGATCAACAAAAAGATGAAAAACTTTCCGTCACTCTCTTCCTGACAGTGTAAAATCTGGGGCATAATTACAGAGGAAATCCCACAGAAATGCAGAATGACTGAAAATCTAGAGCTGTATCACTCATAGGAGTCTTACCTAAGGCTCTGTTGATCCCCTGATCCTTTGCAAGTGCCATAAGGAATCCATAGAAGGTCAGCCTCTGTGCACTACTCAACATTTCCTTCACAAGAGCAGAAGGTGGACAGCTACGAAAAGAGAGACAAAGAGGTCACCTTGTCTTTTAAATTATCATCTTTTTTTTTTCCAAGACCCAGCTCAAACTGTAGAAATAAACCCTTTTACCTGTTCTAATACTGTCAAGTTGCCCTGACTCAGTTTAAACCAAATAGCCACCAGCTTGCTTATTTAGCATTGCATCTGTTCCCCATTTGCTAAGCAAGATGTTTGAGCTGGAGTACATCCCTAGGAGCTGTGTTACCTGTCTCCATTCCAAGGAGAGGGAGAAAAGCCTAGATTCACTCAGAGGCATACACATCCCAACTCTTAGCATATTCTTTCAAAAATCAACTGGGAAATCCTTTCTTTTAGAAGACAATAAATTTTCATGAGGATCGTTAGGTTATCATCACCCTTTTATCCGTGACAGTCATCCAAGGGGCAGGAAAACCTCTCCAATGATAGCCTAAATATGTCAGAAAACAGTATTTAGGTGGTGACTAAATTGACATGTCCCCTTCTACACTCACCTTAACCCCTGGCCCTGACTTCTAAGCAGTATCATCATAGTGATTCTTGCTCTTGCCTAATACTTCTTAAAGGATTTCATGCAAAATAAAACTGCCTCATAAAGAGGAAGTGTTGAACAGTCCATGGTGTAGTGGCACCCCTGGGAGATGTGCGTGTGGGCTGGTGATCCCTCAGGCAAAGGTGGTTACCAAAGCCTGCCTGAGTATTGAGCTACTGGATGAAAGGCTGGGAATGGCTCCCCCCACAGTGCTGTGCAGAGCAGGACCTACCAGATGGGCTCACAGTATCCTTCCCATCTGAAGCTCTCAGGACATACAGGGAATGTAGAGCTTTTGTTATTTAAAAGAACAAAACAACCTGGCATCTCCATGCTTAGATATCTATAGTACTGGACAGCAGTTCAGCAGTCATTTTGTGGATCACAAATTTGGATTGAGGCACCTAAAGCAGGAATCAGGCGGAACTTGTGTCCTGTCTTTTTGTGGATCTAGCCCATGACCTTCTAGCAGGCCATGTGCTCGCTACGTGCAAGAAACTATGAAGAAAGTGTCTGTCAAAGCTATACAGTAAGGTCTGGTATTGCTCCATCCCCTGCTGAACTAAGGCTAGTCTCGTGCCTGGGATCTGTAACTGGAGACCAGCTCCTACACAGACTCGGGTACAGGCTAGCAGTGTGATCTTGTCGAGGTATTAAGGCTTCAAACTCCATCCACCCCAGTGGGCCTTTCCTATGCTTCAACATCCCAGAACACAACTGCACTTGTTTATCTCCTCTAGTTAACTCATGATGGTAGATAGACCTCTCCTTGATGAAAGTGCCAATGCAGAAGTGAGAAGGAAAGCAGAGACCCTAATCAATTCATTACTTCAAGAATCAGTTCAAATCCCATGTTTCTTAGGTCCATGAAATTGTTTCTCTCCTTTGGTTAAAGCAGTTCTGCTATGATCTTGCCCTTCATACTTCTCCCGTGAGATCTATTTGGGAGCTACAGCTTGTTCAAAGTCCTATATTTCTTCACAGCTCCAACCTTACAAAGGGTCTCCAAAGACACAGACTTCAAATCTGTGTTTTGGATTCTGTTCGTACCTGTATTTTGATCTGTCACACAAGGACTCTAGGCACTGATAGAAGAGAGATGCCTCCACCCCATCCAGTGGGCTGCAGTCATTTTGGGGTTGGCGCTGCCGATGTTGCCCAGAGGATGACGTTGGCACAATCACAGTATTTGGATTCTTACCAGCCAGCAGATCTTGATAAATGGCAGCCACGCTTTCCAGGAATTCTGAAAAAACAGAAAGTGACTTAAAACTCAGGGCTATAACCAGCAAAGCATCCTCCTGACCTACCAGACCTGGGATTAAACTGTCATTCCCTGCTCTGTGTTGTACACAGCACCAGCAGGAAATAAGCACAACACTACAGCATCCTGCATATTCAGATCAGATATTATGCAGGCATAAACAGCCATTTCCATATAAGTTGCTGGCTTCTTCCTGTCAGGATGATTATGGGAGGCCACTCACTCTGTTGAACAAGATTCTTCTCAAGGGAACAGAGGCTAGCTAGCACAAGGATAAAACAGTGGAGCGTCAAAATTAATGTCGAACACAAAACTAGTTTGCAAAGTCTGAAAAGTTTTCCTTCTCAATCTCTTGCCATTGATTAAGTACTCATCCAAGTTGGGAACAAACTAGGACAACAGGAGGAAAGGGAGCAAGTTAGTCAGGGCTCCAGGCTGTATCCCAGCTTGTCTCTGTGTTGCTCCAAAGTAAATATAACATGGGATCCAGAGGAAGGGCCAGGGCAGGCCAGGGCTAGAGTTGGCAGAAAGCCTCTCCCCAGGCTCCTCATACTACCCACTGTTTACTGCAGGAGTCTAATTTTAAACAAGTTTGTTTAGGGATGTGGTCAGCAGTTGACAAATCTAGATTCCATTTGGAGTGGTTTGCATGTGTGTGGGTTGGTGGGAGAGCGTATGACAGGCTGCGTGTGTGCATTGTGCCTGGGTGAACAGGAGAGGGATGGGACGTTTGAGTGTGTGTACACAAGGGCGGGCTTGTGAGGACTCCAGTGGCATTTAAGTCCCGAGTGAATGGAAGTGTAATGCTGTGTGTGAGGCTGGTGGAGAGGAAAGGCAGGATGTCAACAGGCCCTGAGGCTGTGCTGAGGTTCTGCAGCTCTGTGGAAACATTTGTTATATCGGAGAAAACTTTCCAAACACATTTTCTGGCCCTGGCTAAAGGCATTACAAGCCTGGTTCTGCCCAACCCAAAATCACCATTTGGAACTGTTTTTCTCTGATGAATTGTCATGGATAACATTGCGATATGCACAGGGGAGTTACAGGGAGAGTACATACAGAGAAGTACTGAGAAAAAGAGATTTTTGTATTAGGGATAGCAGCTGACTCTTAACTGCTATAAAGATGGAAACTGACAGGTTGGATCAGATCAGCAGGCCACCCAAATCTGCTCTCTGACCACAGACTTTGCTCCACCACAGCTTCTAGCCAGTGTCTCCCAGTATCCAAACCTAGCCCCTTTTGCCTGGTCAAGGCCAATTGTGAGCTATGTCCATCAGAGGGAGCTATTTAAGTGCGAGAGGACAGAAATCCACGAGCTTATGTTGCCTTTAGAAAGTGCTCTCTGTTGGGAGATGAGTAATTGGCACCCCAGTAGTCCCCACTGCCTGGGAGCACATCTAACTTTGATAAAGGAAATGCTTCCCTCTTTTTGCCCACTTAAGCAGTTCGCTGAATGAGATTCCCTTTCCTCAACCACATTTTAAGGGGGCTAGGACAAACAGGCCAATGTATTTTAAAGCAGTCTCCCTGTACAGAACAAGCACCTGAATCCTTATCCAAATTTCTCCCCCTTGTCTCGTGAACTTTAGTTTAAAGATATTCCCTGGAGATTTTTACAGATGTATATGTATGGGTGAGCATATGTAAATACACACACACAAACTAATATGATTTGATTTGTACTCTTCCTGTCAAGAATTTTAAAAGAAGTACCCCATCTAGTTAAAACTCAAACTGGGGGAGAGGAGTAGAATATGATAAATGACCAACAATATGAAGAAGGTAGATGGGGATTAACTGTTCACTTTCCCTTCCAACTAGGGGCTCTCAAATCAAACAAGAGAGGTGGTTCTTCATGGGACAGGTGCCACACCTGTGCAACTCCTTGCCAAAATGTGTTGTGGAGGTTACAAGTTTATGTGTCTTCAAGGGGAGGCTGGAGAAGTTCTTGGGAGAGGAGTCCACTGGGGGTTCTTAAACTCATGGAAACCATCACCCACATACCCAGGTCAGAAACACTTTGAGCTGAAACCAGCTCATAGTTGGGTGAGTATTAGGGGAAGAATTGCATCCATTTGTCCAGAATCTTTTCCTTTCAAGGCAGCAGCTGGTGGGCTTTTCTTAGAATCATAGAATCATTTAAGTTGGAAAAGACCTTCAAGATCATCGAGTCCAACCATTAAGCATCTTATCCTGTCTCCAGCAGCGACCAATACTTTAGAGGCAGAAATGCTGTATTAAGGAAAGGAAAAAAAATGTTCCTAGTAAAAGTTAATTGTTAGGTGCTAACATACTCTAGATAAAGCTGGAAATTTATGTCTGAAGGCTAAAATAAATATGTGCATAAGCCATAACAGTTACAGGTATCTTGTTATTCACAAAAATTTGGAACATTTTTATGAAACCTCCTATCTCTTGGCATCAGTAATGCCTGTCATCAGTAGATTCCGTTATTTATATATTTTCTGTGAAAACCCATATCCTTACAAGTTTCAAAAAAGTGCACGGATTGGGAAGCTGTAAAGTTGTAATGCTATACTAGTGGGTGAAATCATCAGCTTCCCAGCATTTACCTGAGTAGTAGAACTGGATCTGGAAAGCAAAGAGGAAATCAGAAAAAGACATCAGGCAATCCATAGCATCATCCATCAGCACAATCCTAGGATAAGATGAGAGAAACAGTTTAGCATCTACAAAAGAAATAAAATCTGTAACCAGGAACCCCAGATCTAGAGAAAGTACAGCTAGTGAGCTATATACAACTGGGGATTGCTAGTGGCTTGTCCCCAGTATAAGAGGTTAGGAGAGAAGAATAGGAATATCCACTGCTGTATGGATGTGGACACCCGAAAATCAAATGAAGGCAGCCTGAGAACCTGCAGCAAGGAGAAGATCCTGAATGTCAGTGCTATCACACACTTCAGCTACAGTGTGAACAGAGCAGTATGACATGGATGTCAAGCATTCAAAGCCTGGTGGACACGATGGAATGAACACTGGCATAAAAACTGCAAGGCTGGTTCACATGGCTATACAAAGAGGAACTGTGCCACAGACAGTTACACGAGTATTAAACCGGTGTAAGCAGAACGAGACTTATGCTATTCCTCTGTATACCAAAGTTCATCAATCTGGGATATTTTCAGATTCATAAGGATAACAAGAAGTATTAATTCCCAATCTATACTCAAACAAACTCCACTTGACTACAGAGGAAATAACATTGCAACAACAATCAGCTTTTTAATTACACCCTGTGAACATCCTATCCTCCCTTCCCGATGAATGAATTGGTCTCTATTCATATCTATCAAGTCTATCATTTGACTAAGAGGTCAAATTTCACAGAAACTGAAGACTTCTTGGGTCAGGGACAAAGTCTTCTTTCTCTCTGCTAAGCCCCAGGTGCATGTAGGGAGCTACATGCATCCCTATTTTGAAGCATACTTCATGAATATGGGAAGTATCAGCCACAGGCCATAAAGATGAAGTATAAGTGATAGCAAAGTCCAACTCCTCCTTTCAGGAAAAAATTCTGGATTTCAGAAATAAGTTAGGGAAAAAGCATTCATAAAAATGAAAACAAAAACAATGCTTTGGTCACTGCCACTACATGAGGATGAAAAGGTCAGTCTCTGAAGTGGGGAAAATCAAACTTGAGCTGATCAATGACAGCTCAGACTGGAAAACAGAAGGAAACACTCCACTTTGATGGGAAAAAACAGAGTATTCTGATGATGCTAAAGGAAGGTAGTTGGTACTTCTTTTCAACCCCATATGACCCCATACAGTCAGTATCTGGCATATCAGGTCATATGAGAAGGATTACCAGTTCATTATAGCCAAAGTATGGGTCATCTAGTAGGACCCTTTTGAATTCGGGGCCAAATGCAATCTGTGGACCAACTCCTGCAGCATCAATGGTCTAAACACATTGCTGGGGAAACACTGTTCTGTCTCATGTAAAAGATTCCAGGGAGCTGTGTGGGAGGCTGACCTAGAAGAGTTATAGGATCTTGCAAGAATTCCCTGCCACTCAGACCAGTTCTGTTCACTGTGGCAAAATCAAACATGTAGAGCAGCTTGAATTAATTATCTCAAAGAAGAAAGACTGGGGCTAAGAGGGTCCCCAGGAGAAAAGCCTGTATTTAAAACAAAACCCTTTGAAGATGTCAAAGTGCTTCTGATTTATTTATTATGTTCCAGAAGCCTCCTCCTCCTCCTCCTGTCTAAAGAAGCAGTAGCTTCAGTTCTTAATTCTTACTAATAAGCATGTTACTGAGATTGTCAGTGGCCACATCAAGGAAACGGCTTTGAAGCTGGCAGGCAAAGCATCTTCATCTCTCAGGCAATACTGCTCAGCCACTGGCGTTTCCAACCACTATTTAAGCACTGGAAATGCAATGGGCCATATCGCTGATGAGCTGCACTCCCTCCTTGGAAATGATGGTCTGCCTCCCAGACACCCTCAAAGCACAAGCTCTGAAGTGTTTGCCAGTGCATTTCTCCATCCTGGAGATGCAGGAGAACAACAGTGGAGGGTTTTTTAATATATTTGTTATGCAGAGAGACAATGTTACATCACCTTCATGACAATCAATTCATTTCATTTGTTCAGTCTGAAGCTATGGTCAATGGCTGTGCTCTGCAGCACCAAGTCTCGGTCTCTTACTTAGAGGAGAGCATGAGGAAGTAGGCAGAGGTCTGAGAATTTGCTGGACATTTCTTCCTGTTAAAGACAGAAAGGAGCCTCTAAGGAAGACTGTATGGCACATATGTGATGGAGGAGCATCTAAATAGAAGCAGGTGCACTCTGGTGCTGGGTTACTGACTCCACTTGGCCTAGGAGTCAGCACTCCGGAAATGTTGAGAAGTCTTTAAATCCAATACAATAATTTATGAGGAGATTGACTGCAGCTGGCTATTTCCCCCCACAGCCAGCTGACTGAGCAGTCAGGAAAGCTGGGAGAGCATCATACGCAACATATCTGCACCTCTTCCCTGAAGTATCTGGTGAGGAGAGAATCCTAGCCATGGACTGTAACCCAGACAGCAGGACCAAAACTGAGGATGAAATCTCAAAGTCTGAACTGCAACTCAAAAGAGTTCATCAGGTAGCTGATATTTCAAGGATTCTTTATTCATTCTTTCTTGTCCAAATTAGACTTTAAGCCCTCAGGAGTACAGACATATTTACAAAGTTCGTAGTCGGCACTCAATGAATAATGAAAATCAAGGAGAAACTTTGGAAAGGACTGAAGAAAGATGCCTACACTTGAAGGACTCTGGTAAAGGGTGTAGTGGTCTTTCAGGGTTCAAGTGGGTTTGGCTGGCAGGAAAGCCTTGCTACTGTGCCAATGGGGAAACTTTATGATCTACCAATTGTGGTTAAAATCTCAGAAACCCAGACTAGACAGGATGTCCCCAGGACAAACTCTAGACCAGGCAAGTTGAAAGGACTTTTACTGTTCTCTGCTACCATTAAAGGCTAACTGACACAATCTGTCTTAAGGCCAGGCTGGCTCAAAAGAGTCTTCAGGGACTTGGTTTGTTTACTGATATATGGAGGCAAAAACAAGCAGAACACACAAAAAGGGCAAGATCTGCACTCTCAGGCAATCTTTTAACAACAAGGGGACAGACTTGCAAGCCCCACTTCCATTAGCACTGGTCAGTGCAACACGAGCTCCCATACCACATAAAACAGCATAGGAGCTGTGAACTACTCAGCTCTCACTACTCAAATGTGGGCAGCGAGTTCCCTGTGTTTCTATTACAAAAGAATAGTCATTGCTCAGGTACAGATCTTGAAATCATGGCATCAAACCAGAAAAATCCCTTCATTTTCTGTCCTTCTGCAATTTCAAGATTCAGAAAGCCAAGAGGTGTCTCCAAAGATCAAAGGTATCCCTGTAGATTAAAATCTTCAATCTGCTAATGGCTATAGCCCTTTGAAGAAAAAAAATATCCAAGAAATCTCAGACACAGATAGCCTGGTTCTTTTTTGGGTATGACTTCTGTATTTGTGTAGCACCAGGAACAGAAAAATGGAGCTCTCTGGTGTCATGCAAATAAAACCTATAAAGTAGTAGCCTCTGTTCTTCTGCTCTGACATTTCCTGATCTTATTCCCAGTGTTTGTTATCAGTGCATAGCAACAGCTCCTGGACGAGAGGAGTGCACCGTGCTGTGAGATCATCCCAGTCATGCAGCACTGAGACTACAACTACAACTGCTGTCTTCCCAAGAGTGCCAATAATTACACAGGTCCTGGCTCTATCAGTGAATGCTGTGGCTGTTCCCGCCGCTACTTTATTTAATTCCTTTCCCAAGCAAATTAGCAACAAAACTGTTGCGGGTGTGCAGACTGAAGGAGGAACAATGTCAGTAGGTTTGCATGTGACATTCATGCTTTGCAAGGACTCAATCAACTGGTGCCGGAAGACAGCCTGCAGAGTTCACCTTTCTAACTGGCAGAGACCAAGCAGGACAATGGGAAGCGTAGACCAGAAAAAAGACAAGAGAGCAAGCAACAGTTGGAAGGAAAGAGAAAGATGGTTTAGAAATACGACAAGTTTTATTAAAATTGTTCCTACTAGATTAGCTTGTAACAGAATAATAGCAATGTGTAAGTAAATCTCTAGCCAGCCAAAAGTAGGAGTGAGGTCATCCCCACCTGAGCCTGGGTGCCTCTGACAGAGATCTCATTTCTCTCCAACACCTGCTCCCAAAGCCGGCTTGTCTGTCTCTACGGCACAGGCACAACAGTGCAGTGGGCCCCTGAATGGGGCCTCTAGTTCACAACAGCCTTGTGGATTAAATTCCTTGACACAAACATCATAACGTGTAGATATGCTGCAGTCTCCTTTCATGCACCATCACAAATTCCTGTTCAGCTCAGCTGGAACCTTATGAAATACACACCAGCGCATGGGACTGGTGCTTCTGTACATCCCTGAAAGGAAGCAGCAGATACATCCCTGCTACAGGGTTAGCATTCTTTCTTAGTCTGGCATTGGAGGCCAAGCAGCTGTACCTTCTGGAGCCCCTAAGGCCCACTGAAGAGCTAGAGGGGAAAGTGGTGCTCAACTTTTAGTTTTAATTGGACCAACACAGCTTTAGCTGCAGTTCAATTCGGATAGCAGCATATAGGAGCCAGGGAAGAATTCAGAGAATCAGCCAAGTGGAAGTACTAGCAGATGGATAACACTTCTCTTCTCCACTTTTCTTTCTTAATATAATTTTCATGGGACTCCGATGCTAAAGAAAGATAACAGAATGACAAGTAGAAAATGAGGACTGTTTCATTATTTAGGCCATGAACAACATAGGCAGCAGCTAATACCCTGATCATGTGTCAGGATCCTGTTTCCAAATGCCATATCTAGGTCCACGAATAAAGTTAAATTTCCATGCCCCCTCTGCTGAGATGGCTAGAAATGACAGCATTTATTCAGTAACCTTGCTGTGATTATATATGCGTGTGTGCACGCACTCCTACTGAGAACTGAACTGACCCTCACCCCAACAGATGCATATACCTTATTACATTTTCACTATCAGATAGTTAATAATCAACTGCCTGGGCTGGACTGGAACCAGCAAGCACTATCACTAAAAAATTCTGTATCACATTATCAGTGCCCTGAGCCATCTATCTGCTTTAGGCCTTGTCTAGATTAAAATAAAATTTCAAACAGATTAGCTACCATGTTCTTAGCTAACATACTTTAAAACACTGGCAGTCCTTCAGAGCTTAGTACCTTTTAAACATGATCAACCATAGGAAGCTGAGGCAAGGGGGAACACATTTTAAAGATGGTAAAGAGTATCTGAAATAAAGTTTTAAATCATATCAGTTAAAAACACATTGGCTAACATTCTTTTATATGCAACTCATCTTCTGAATGTAGAGCCAGCAGCAGCATTCTGCACTGGTATTTCAGTCCCTGTATATCTTAAATATACACTCCTTCTCATTGCTAGAAAAACACCCTGTTCTTAACCTCAAAACATGGTATCTCTTTTCCCCAAAATCTTAAAAGATTAAGTCCTTGTCCATACCTTTACCCACAGATCTAATTCCTAAGCCCATAAGTGTAGGACTGATCTTGCCTTAAAAGAGAGGATGAGGACCCACCTTGCTGCCTTCTGAGTGAGTTCCATTGGGAAGTCAGGGCAGAGCAGCTGCAGCAGGCAGTGGTATTCCTGTGCTGTCAGCAAGTCTGCAGGAAAAGAGAGGTGAGAACATTGTAATTCTTTTACAGGCTGTTCCCTCCCCTTGCTTCCTCTCTAGGAAAAAACCCTCATATTCCCTTCTACTCTCAATTCAAGTAGACTGGGTACTAATGACAATATAACTGCTCCCTAGACCCTCACAGCTGGGCTCTTCAGATGGAGTTTCCAGCAAAGACAATCAGAAAGAGGCCTGATAAAGGGGAAATCCTACTGAAGAGGCTCCTGCAGAGAAACTGGTAACAGGTAGTGATTGGAGAGAATCCTGCACAGAAACTGGTGAAGAGGTAGTGATTCAGTGTGAAAAAGAGGTAACCAAAACAGGGCAGTTTCAAGTGAGAACACAGTTTGGTTTGACTTGAATATAACCATGTGGAAAAAAGAATCATTTCAAAGTTGCTTAAATTTGCTGAAATTCACTGGCATGGTGACATTCACCACAATACGCCTGAAAACCATCCACAGAACATCTGGCAGCAGTAACAAAGGCAAACAAGGTTTTTGGGTTGTGTATGGAAGGCTACAGAGTATAAACCACAGACGTTATTACTTTAGCATTTGGTAAGGCAGCTGGATGGTCTCTTTTGGAATAACGTGTACAAATCTGGTCACTGTATTATAGGAAGCGCAGAACGAAGATCCAAAAAACACAAGAAAACCAATCAAATGATTCATGTTTTAAGAGAGCAGCTTTGTGAAAGATTGGTCAAGAAGGGCCTCTGTGGTTCAGCAGAAAGAGTCTAAAAGAGGTGACTTTTAGGGAAGCTTATAGGATCCCAAGGGAATGGAAACATACCGATGTCAAAAAGCCCTATATGATTGTATGTTCATAGTCCAAAAGGCTGTGGACTGGAGTTAAGGAGAAGACTAGCTGAACAGCAGCAATTTTGCAGTACTTCTATACACAGAAGAATGCAAAGCATGGAAGAAAGTGCCAGGGGTGGAAGTAGAGCCAAGCAGTAGTCAGGGAGGGGATCCAAAGGGCACATCCATTAGGACTGAAGTACAAAGCATGAGTTCTTTTGCCACAGACACATCTTAGCCTTCTTTAGGCTCCCATCCAAATAATCAACCTTGTCCAAGATGATAGCCACAACTTCTCCATAGCTCCACAACTCCTCAAAGCCTGGAAGTTTGTCAAAAGCGCGAGAAAAGGAAGATGTTACACCTTTGTCAGATGTTTCAAGAGGCAGGTATGCAGTATCAAAGGAACATTTCACTGTGACATCCAACCCAGCCAAACTAATATTTTCAATGCTGACTAAAGAAATACTGCAGGAGGACTGTCACCAAAATCAAGTTACAGACCTGTCGTTTACCTACATTATTAGCCAGGGAAGTGGAGGAAAGAGAGGAGAGCGCTACTATTTTTCTTTTCAGTTGAGGAAACCCTATAGCTGAAAACCACTTTTGTCAGACTCTCTGACATCCATTATAGACACTCTCTAGAGTACTATACTTTGCACTGCTCTTGGGAGGACCTTAGGTTTCGGGTCATGCTATGAAAAGGTGATTTTGCTCTGCCTGGAAAAGCCAACCCTGCAGTCAGAAAACTGCTATAAACACAAGGAAGTCCCAGCCTGTGCAGAACTACAATATCATTGCAGGGATTTGTGCAACCTATTCTACTGTAAGGATAAATACATCAGAATCTCTCTTCTTCCAAAAATAGAATGCTGAGCTGAATTAAATTTCTGTGGCTGCACTGAAATTACAGATGTCTGGGAGGGCATCTGTAACTTTTTTGTATTGTCATTTCTTACTAAAACACAAATCAGAGGCTGCTCTCTATTGCAGATATAGAAGACCTTGGTCCTTCAGTCAGTGTATCTCAGCTTGGGTTAATGATGGTATCCAGTGGAATGGTGGGGTTTTCTCCTGCAATGTTAGCTAATCAGTTCCTTGAATGTCATCAAGGAAAGTATCACCAAGTTTTATGTATAACTGCAAAAGGATATTATTGAAAAAGTCCCAGTTATGATGAGCAGGAAGATGTGTATTTTTAAGTGAATTTTCAGCTCACTATTTCATGACACTATGTGAGGAGCGAAGAGGAAAGAACATCTTCTCTGTAATTTTGTTAGATCAACAGTCATTTACAGCAGTAGAGATTTTGGTCCTAAGTTCTTAAGAAAACTTATCTGATCGTGTAAGGTACATGCAAGTTCCATAAAATCATCTTCAACAGGCTCAGCATAGGAAGCAGGTTACAGGAAAACAGAGAAGTTGGGCATAGAACGGCTCTTTTGAAACAGACACTTTCTCATAATTGAAGAGGACAGTATGGACCTCTTACAACTACTCTTCAAAGCTTTCTAAATCTAGCTTTGAATAACGCTAGGCATCAAACTTCCAATCTTTGTCTAAAAAGTCTACATGTTGGTCAGAATGAGTCACACCATTTGGAAGCTTTATGAAATACTCAATTTACATTTTTTTTTTGCTGAAGTTCAAATTCCTATTTATGCATCCTTATACCTCTTGCTCTCCATTATTTTTTCCTTTCATTTGTCAACAGATCATTATAATAACCCTTTCTTCATACTATATCTTGTTTAATCTATTTAACTATATTTATTTAAATTTAAATCTGTTTATCTTGCCCTCTACATCCCTCCCTACCTAGCCCAGTCATATCTGTTGCTCTGCTTTGATCCCCTTTGGATTTTCACAGTGTGATGTCCAGCAATGTACAAAGCATCCCTCATGCATTCAGAACAGATGGGCTCTAGGAGGATAATCTGCTCACTTTCATCAGCGAAGCCCCTTTTCATTAATTCTGAATCTTAGCCTCCTCTCTTCTCCCCCTGAAGGTGAAGGAGTTTAAGGTTTTTTCTGAAGGATGAGGTTTCCTGAGAAAGTTGCACTTTGTTTGCAGTCCCTGTCAGGTTGCTAGACAAAAGCAGCTTGAGAGGATAACTGGGCCCTAAGCAAGCATTAGTTTTGAGGCATAAATCTCTTACTCGCTGGAAATAACATACTTTTAAAACTTATAATAATTTACGCTGTCTTTTTCTCCTCCCTCTTCATACCTAGTCACAGCATCATCCTTACTCCTCCATCACAAAACAACGAAACAACAGAGAACAAAAGCAGAAGTCTGCTCAAAAAGACTTTGGGAAAAGGTGGCAGAGATCCTCTCCGACAAGCACATCAGAGGATGAATTTCATTTTCAGTAAAAGTGGAATTAATTACGGTTTCAGTCTTTGAGCAAATGGTCTATTTAGATGGGAACTGCACCCAAAGTTGAAGCGGTGCAGAGAAGTTCCTTCTCTAAAGAAAGAAGCCCTTTGCTTCTTATGCCTGGAGAAACGGCACCAAATTAGTCACTGAAGTATGCAGGCAGACTCTTTTAGGCTGTAACACAACTCAGCCTATAGACACCCCAGGTGCCTAACCAATAAATCATATCAATCTCAGACTACAGATGGGTACCTATTACACGGGAAGGGGGATCACCACAGACCTTAGGAGGTGTCTACAGTTTGCTGTCATGATTATTTTTCTATTCCCTACAGCAAGGTCAGTGAAGACCATGCAGAAAATTACATTTGCCCATGTACCATATTGTCTGCCAAGAGCTGCTTGGAATAAACAAGGGCAGTTTTGGTGCATGACCACATTGCTCCTTCCTGTCTCCAAGCCACAGCTGAGTAAATAGTGTTCAATGCTGCATGATGAAGAAAGAAAGAAAAGAAGGAAGGTACCAGTCAGAATGAGTGAAAACTGGAATCCACAACTGCTACTTTGGTTGCTACCACAAATTACTGGATCTCAAGTTCCAGTAACAAATGAAGTACATCACGGAGAGTTTAAATCTGACCCCCAAAAGCACAGGGCAGTGAGCTATATGCACTTTACTATGCTCTCACAGTGGAACAAACTCAGGTCATACCACGTGCTTAAGAATGGAGAGAGATTGCAATCTGCATGTTAACATGTTCATTTACAGCTGAACATAATGCTTTGCTCTTCCACTGCAAAGCAGGTAATAACAAATTCCAAAGTGATTTTAAAACAGCAGTACACTAAGAAGGAGCTGGGAGGCTTAATAGAATAAGTACAGAAAAGTGAAGTGGTATGGTATATTGCACTGGAAGTACTTTAACTGTTCAGTCACAATTTTTGCTGTACTGGTCTTCAAACTCCTGCCCAGCCTGTACTGCTGCTGCTACTGTGCCACTGGCAAAATCCGGACTCTTCCCTACAGATCTCACTGTCTGTGAGTAGTTTATTGTCTTTCAGTGCCTGAGGCAGACTCTTCCTCGTGTTTCAGAGGCATAGTGGAGAAAGAAGTTTGTCCATGTGGTACAATCTTAGAAAACAAACGCTGCTTTCTGGATAAAAATGGCCTACCTTTGAGAAACATAAAGGCAGCTGCTTCATATTTCCCTGGCTTTTAAAACACATATTGTTTTTACCAGCTTCGTTTCTGGCTTGTATGTGGCTGACAGATGGCATCTGACCCAAAGTGATGCAAACTCTACGAATGCTAAATGATGTGTTTATGCGGCTGTCAGTGTCGTGAGTGAAGTGTAGACACACCTGAGCTATCTTTAAACTAGTTATGTTTCATACCAACAGCAGCCTAGCCACAGAAGCGTGGAGCTCAGTGAAGGCCGTAAAATCTGCCCAGGAAGCCAATAAATATTTAGGACTTAGCCTGAATTGCAGTCATCGCTGCTGTATCTAGGCTGCTGTAGATAGAAGTAGCTATCTACAATGCTGTCACAACACCGTGACAGCTATAAATATGCCCAAAGCAGTAGGAGAATATTTACTGCAGTTGGTGTATGAAATCTGCCCCAAAAAGTCACATTAGTAACTTCCCAGAAACACAAGGATTGCCTTGATTAATATACATTAAAGTTCCCTATTCCCATCATCTTTCATGTACAACCACTATCCAAGCAGGCTGGAGCCCTGGGCAACGTAGCCTTTCCCTTTGGATTATGGTAGGACACACAATTTCCACAGGTTTCTTTTCTA